TTTGGGATCGCCTCCTTTGACATCGATATGGAATTCCTGAGAGGTTCCTTTGGTATGGCTGTGCGCGCTGGACGGCTACGGCGACCACGGGGGCCAATGAACCATGTTATGATGAATAAGTGTGCGAACATGTAGCGGAACGCGTATGCGATGTCCCTTCATAGACTCCTTCTTTGGATCTCGTGACCCATCTATCTCTGTATTCACCGAGGGTTGCCTAAACTGCCATGACGAAAGTTGATGCGGTTTGGTATGATGTTCGGATGTTCTATCCCTCTAAAGGTTCCTACCATGGGCAGGCGGCTCCTGCGCTCCCGCGGAGTAATTCGGGTCCCCCTTAGGGGATCTCAAAACGGGAGGCATGGGCGCCTTGGAGGCCTCGCTGGGCGTTTTGGAGGCCTCTGGGGCCGTCTGGGAGCCATCTCGAGCGTCTTGGAGTGATCGTTCGGCGACTCAGGGCCCTATTGGGCCGTCTTGAGGGCCTCTTGGGGCCCTCTTGGCCCGTCTTGGGGCCCTCTTGCGCCCGATCCCGCAGCCCAGGGGGCACGCGACGAGCCCCGGGAGATTGGGCAATCTGGGGTCTGGGCCCCGTAAAGACTCCTCAGGAGCGAGGACTGAGGCTGAGAGGACTGGGCAAATGACCTGGGGGCACGCCCACTCCGTGCCCAGAGGCACGGTGGCGGATCTCAGATCGGGATCGGAACTTACTCCGTCCAGTACATCATGAAAAGACAGGGTGGGGTGCCTGCCCGCGCAGAACAATTTCTACTCCGTCCATTGCGCCTGCTCCGCCAGTCGTCAGACATCTCGCATTCAGACCACATAATTTGATGGAGTTTCTGTGGAGCTCACGTCATCCTAAACCCCGGCGCGCGAGAAAGTCAGGCCTCACCGCGCCCCTTGGGACCCTTTCCCCGGGGATCGCACGGGGCGTGTCCCTGTCCAGGGCTCTCGCTTGAGAAATCTTAGCAAAGTCGACCCCCCGCGAGCGAGACAGTCAGGCCCCACCGCGCCCCCAGGGTCTCTGTCCGGGGATCGCAACGGGCGTGTCGGACCATTTCCGAGGATCGCACCGGGCGTGTCCCAGTCAGGGGCTCCTGGTCGAGACATCCTCGCAAAATCGTCACCTGGCGCGCGAGATAGTCAGGCCTCACCGCGCCCACAGGGACCATTTCCGGTGGTCGCAACGGGCGTGTCCCAGTCCAAGGGCTCTCGCTCAACACATTCTCGCAAAGTCGCCCCTCGTGCGCACGAGAAAGTCAGGGCACACCGCGCCCCCAGGGATCCTTTCTGGGGATCGCACCAGGCGTGTCCCAGTCAGCCAGTCGAGACATCCTCGCAAAGTCGACCCCTGGCGCGCGAGACAGTCAGGCTCACCACGTCCCCAGGGACCCTTTCCGAGGATCGCACCAGGCGTGTCCCAGTCCGTTGCTCTTGTCCCTTCGTCCACAAGCGCACGCCCCTTTTCTTTTTACAGTTGTATACAGAAATTTCCGATCTACCCAGAGCGGCCGGCTAGTATTTGTGTCATGGCGATGTATGTCCACGCGAGCCCGCGTCGTATTTGTGCTTTCCTGATTCCCCTTATCCTCATCGAGCTGTTGTTCCTGCTTGTTTCGTTTTTGAGATTCCCTGGGAATTCCTGTTTTTGATTCCTTTCTGACGACTTGTCATGAGTAATTATGTGCAATTTCCTTTGAGGAGATCCCGTTGAGATGTATTTGAGGTTTCTGTTGGTTTCCTTCGCGTGGTCCTTTGTTCATAGATCTTTGAAATTGATGTACAACTCTTTTGAAATCCCATGGGGATTTCGCCTTCGGCCCGTCCCGCCACCGTGCCTTTGGAACGGCCTTTTATCACCTGTCATCGAAGACGCCAACTGCGAATCACCGCCGTCCCTTGCCTTTTTGGAAGCGCTTACGTGGCCGACAGTTGGGCTAGAGCTTGGCCAAGCTATCGCACCATGCGTTCCCCCAGCCGTCGTTGGAAACCTTCGGGGAACACTTGGGGAAGAGGATGCATACTACTACTACTACTACTACTACTACTACTACTACTACTACTACTACTACTACTACTACTTCTACTACTACTACTACTACTACTACTACTACTACTACTACTACTACTTACTACTACTACTACTACTACTACTACTACTACGACTACTACTACTACTACTACTACTACTATTGCTGCTGCTGCTGCTGCTGCTGCTACTACTACTACTACTACTACTAGTACTACTACTACTACTACTACTACTACTACTACTACTAGTATTCTTACTACTACTA